TATAGTAAAACACGTAATATATTACACGATGTGTATAGTAGTATAGTACTATAGATATGAGTGGATTAGATATATTAGTGTAGTAGTATATTATATTTATGTGTATATGGTTATACTAGTACAGTAGTACAGTAGTACAGTAGTACAGTAGTATAGTAATATAGTAGTATAGTAGTATAGTACTATAGTATTATATTAGTATATTAGTGTAGTCGTATCGTAGTATAATACGCAGACGTACATACGTAAAGTACAATGTGTTAAAGCAAAGTATATAGTATAGTATGTTTAATCATATTACTCGAATTCAAACACCGAAATTCCACAAAAACGAGTTTCAAGACGAGTTCTTTTTTATTTCTGAAACACTGAATTCCACAAACGATGTTCAAACCGAGTGTTTTTTACTTTCTCAAACCCAAAATTACAATAACACGATTTTCAAAAAGAGTTCTTTTGGATTTTTCAAAAAAAAAAAAAAACAAAAAAAAAAACACATGACTCCACAACGAGTTGGTTTTTGTTTCTCAAACACAGAATTCCATAACAACGATTTTCAAAACGAGATCTTTTTTAATTCTCAAGCACGGAATTCCACTGAAACGATTTTCAAAAGTATTTGTTAGTTCCAAATGCGATATATCGTCGAACACAGAGATCGGGTGACCCACCAGCCGCGTGGGTCACCATTTTTGTGTGTTCAAAAACTCTGTCCCAAACTAATGATTTTCATCCTACAATGTTTACATATGTTGGATGTCATAATATAGTACATTATATTATATTATAATGTAATGTAGTATAATATAACCAACACACAATATTATATGATAACATACACAGAACCCCCACCAGACAGCTCACAGGCATTCTAACACGCCACTGCCGTGCAAGCACGGCGGCAGATATGTCAACGCACGTAAACCGCGAGCGCAGATGTTTCATCCCTACCCCCCCCCAATTTGCCCACGCCCCCCCTTCACCGCATGGGGCTTCTTGGGGGCGGGGGGGGGGGGGCGTTTTGGAGCTTTCCTCGCCCTCCTCCGTTCTCCTCGCCCTCCTCCGTCCTCCTCGCCCTTCGCCGCATGGGGCTCGAAGGGTTTCGGCTCTCGCGGTAGGGCGCGCGCGTGCGCGGAGCATGCATGGCACCGAAACGGACGAAGATTGAGGTTCAGAGGGGAACGAGTGCCTCGAGTTACCTCCCTTTCACTGCTTCCCTCCTTCGCGCTGCACGTTTGGCCCCAAACGACGCAGCGCGAAGGGGGGAGCTGGGGAGGGCGGAAACTCGAGGGCGCGGGAAAAACATTTGGGCTGCACCCAGGTTTCCTCGGATCAGATCGCCGAGAGGCTGCTCGAGGTTCTCGATTCGTCGGCCCTGCTGACGTATCGCGAGGAGTACAGCGGCACCCGCAACACCGATCTGATCACGACGAACGCCAAGGTGGTGGCTGTGATCCCGACCGGCGCGAACCAGACCGTGGCGCAGCGAGCCTTCGAGACGGTCGGCCAGAACAAGGAGGAGCAGTGGCGCTTGAGCACGCAGCTCACAAATTGGTCGAAGTCCATGGCGAAGCGATGCCGTGCAATGAGGAGGGACGTCGATCAGGCGATTCTGGAATAGAAACTGCTGGATGGGGCCCCCAGGCGGTTCGAGCCCCCTCGATGGGGGCTCGAACCAATTAAAGAGGGGGGAGGGACGATCAAGATGGGGGGGAATGATCGAGTAGAGGATGGGGTGAGGAGAGCGGAGGGAGGAGGAGATGGGGACGAGGACTCGGGAGGAGGAGGAATGAGAAGGAGGAAGAGGATAGAGGGAGGAGCAAGATGACAATCGGACGGGGGATGCGGGGGGCGAGGAACTGCATGGGGATGGGGGGGCACCACGGGGGCTCCTCAAGCTGCGGGGCAAGAGCGTCGACGAGGTGCCTACCTGGCTGCTCCCGTTCTGGGCGCAGGACGACGGCGTCGAGCGGACATACCGGCGCAACGGGAGCATCCCAGACAAGGATCGCCACGTTTTTGAAGGATGAGTGGAAGGATGATGAGGATGGCATAACAGGAAGAGGTATACGGAGGATGAGGAATATTATTGGATGGAGGATGTTTTCAAGGGGGGGCGCGAGGAAGATGAGGAGGCTCGCAGACTCATGAAAATCATTCGGAATCAGCCCCTCGACCGAGTTTCAAACGGAGCTCGCAGAATCAGTCAAAATCAGTCGCCGACTGATTTTCACTGAGTTTGGTGATTTGTGCTGCTGATTTTCACTGAGGTTCGGAGCTCAGGTCGATTCCCTTATTCTGATTCGGTATCGGGGCGGGGACTGGGGACCGACAAAACTGCTCGCAGCTGGCCTACCGGTGCGAGATCCAGGGGGGCACGGTCGGGCAGAGGGAGCCGTCGGAACCCATTACGGTACCAGATGGTGCAGGAGATGATGACAATGTTGTCGCTCGATGGCCTGATGGACACACGTGGAAGGTTCCAACATGCACGGTCGCCCAGCACACGCAGACGGAGCCCAAGAAGGCGAACAAAGTGCTTCGCAGCGTCAAGAGCCACGAGAACAACGGATCGTACGTCAACGTCTACTTGAAAGAGCAGACCAGGCAAGGCATCCTGGACATGGAGCTCATAAGCGTGATGCACGAGTGGGGCGACGCGAAGAAGAAGCAACTGCTGCAGGTGGTTGCGACAGGAGCGGCGCAGGAAGGCAAAGCTAAAGCATTAATAGGTTTGACAGGCCTGGCGGAACGGCTGGCTAAAGGTGAGATCTACAATGATCAAGCTGAGGAATTGAAAGTGCCGTTCATCCCTGTTCGGCCGAAGGGGGCAGGTGGGGCAAGAACAGAACTGAAGAAGCGTCCAGCAGCAGCTGGATCCAAGGCGGAACTGGTAGAACCCAATGCGCAGGAGGCACCGGTAGCACCCAAGGCGGCAGATGGAGATGCAGAACCCGCGGCGGCACCAGATGCCCCACCAGAGGAGGAGGAGGACGAGGCCGATGCAGGAGATGATGAGGATGAAGAGCCCACAGATGCCGACTCCCAGATGGGAACGGCCGCCGAAAGTGGAGATCCAGCAGCGGCCCCAGCAGCTAAGGATGGTGCGGCGACGACCGTAAACATGAAAAAACCAGCAGCGGCAGCGGCAGTTGAGGATGGTGTAGAGGCGAGTGAAGAGATGAAAAGGCAAGCAGCGGCAGCGGCAGCTGAGGATGCACGTGATCATGACGACGGTGAGGGCGGTGCAGACGCAATGGGCAGCCCTTCAAAGAAGAGGAGGGCCGTCGGGAAGACAACCCCAGATAGGGCAGCGCGCCCGACCGCGGATGCCGCACTTGGCGAGGAGGATGCGGCAACGGCGGCCGCGGCGAAGGCGGAGCGGACGCAGCAGGACGATGAGGCCGCAGCGAAGCAGAAGCAGGCTGAGGAGGAGGAGGCCAACGCGAAGAAGAAGCGGAAGCAGCAGGACGAGGAGGCCGCAGCGAAGCAGAAGCAGGAAGAGGAGGACGAGGCCAACGCGAAGAAGAAGCGGAAGCAGCAGGACGAGGAGGCCGCAGCGAAGCAGAAGCAGGAAGAGGAGGAGGCCAACGCGAAGACGAAGAAAGATGCTGAGGTCGTCGCGAAGCGGAGGCAGGAAGAGGAGAAGACGGCCGTCCCAGCGACGCAGCAGGCCACCGCCCCCAGCAGCGGTGCAGTGGCGAGCAGTGCAATCCAGGATTCGGCTGACCGAACATCCAGGAACCTCTTGAGGTGGTATCTAGGCCAGGGGGTACCAGAGGGGGTCCATGGGTCCAGGGCCGAGGGGTCCATGGGTTCAGGGCCAGGGGGTCCAGGGGGGTCCAGGGGCCCAGGGCAAAGGTTGCGCGAGAGCCCTCGCGCATCCCCCGTCAAGCTGGCCCTAGCGCCACCGCCATGAGCCACTCCTGGACTTCAGTCAGCCAAGGGCTCACTGGCCGCGCCGCAGGCCGTGCCGCAGGTCGCGGCGCCCACCGGCACGCGGCTGTTCGCCGCGCCCGCCCGCCACGACGCGGTCCCGCCGACCGCCGCGGGCACCAGCATCGACGACGACAGCGACTCGTCGGGCGGCATCCCGACGCTCGGCCTGGCAGATTTCTAGACCAGGCGATTTTTCGAACTGATTAGCTCTCGTTTCCTTTCGCGCTGGGAAAATGTGGGCTGGCACCGTGTGTTCTTGGGGCCCTGGGGGGAGAGTGGTGCCCAGTTTCGCTCGGTTCTACACCCTGCTAGCTTTCGATGCTCCTGAATTGGGTATCCTCCCCTCCTCCTCGATCCCCCCTCTGCCCGTCGCAACTTATCACGCCCCCCTCCTCGTTCGTCCCTCTCCTCATCCCCTCCTTGTACCCTCCCCCTGCCCCTCCTCCTCCTCCTCCACCTCCTCCTCCTCCGCCTCCTCCTCCTTGGAAGTTTCGGTTGGCTGACCCTCGGACTGTTAGGGTCAGATTGCATCCAAGCGACGTCCGATTGATTCGACTGGCATTTGAAAGGTCGCAATCGGCAGCGACACCAGCATCCCCCAAATCAGTGAAACTCAGTCGTGGGTCTGATTCCGTCTGAGTTGTCTGATTCTGTGCTCTGGTTCAACGATATGTTTCGATTGTTCCATGATCGTGATGTGAGTTTTCTTTGGACGATCCTTGGTAAGTTTACGAATGTTAGGATTTCGGACTTCATGGTTCTGATTACAATTTGGGGATCAGGCGAGTTAAAGCTATGCGACGATCGTTCCCCCCTGCCCCCCCCCCGCCCCTCCCGCGCGTAGTCTAACATTCTAGGCCCAAATATGCCCAACGAACTTTCGAAGTCTTTTTCGATCTTACCGTCCAACCCCTGGAGCACCCCGATCGGCGCGATGCTGGCCATGTCTTCGAAGGAACGACGATGATCTGTGGAACATCCAAGTGGGCGACAGGGCGGATGGGAAGGGCGAGCGGGGGGGTATAGACATCGCATTCGCGTGATGTCTGTAAACGAATGCGATGTCCGTACGCCCTGCCTCTCGCCGCCCCCTCCGCCCCCATCGCCCGCTCAGCTGTTCTGCGACCCCTCGTCGATCAGGATGCTGCGCCGCAGAGCCCAGCGGTCGACCTCTCGTCCAACGTGGAGCACCCGTCCGCGAGCAGCGCGCAGACCGACATGACCAAGTTCGACCTGGACGACCTGCTCCAGCATGAGGCATCTACTATTATGGACTCGGCCAAGGGCTCGATGGATACCCTTGAGAGCATCCTCGCTGACAAGATGCGTGCTCTCTCTACCACGCCCATCGCAGGCCCCAGCGCCCCCAGCGCGGCCGCGGCTGACGAGCCCGACGGCAATGCCGACGCGATTTGGACTACGCTGAAGGAGCCATCACTCCTCCTCACCTTCTTCCTCCTCCGCCTCCTCCCCCTCCCCTCCAGGATAACAATTTCGATTTCAAGGCTCGTGCGGAGAAGGGCAACTCATTTGCGAATAAGTTCGCCGACTACCTGAAGACTAACCCAGCTGATGCAGCTACATACAAGTCCATGAAGAAGGTCGGCCGTGACGCTCAGGCCAAGATGAGGCGCGATTGGGCCAAAGGCGAGTACCAGATCTTCGTCGAAGAGAAGTTGGAGAGGAAGGTGCTTTCGACCAAGAGCTTCAGCAAGGCGAAGTACCGCTCCCTCGGCTCGATCGCGGAAGCGGAGGGCTTCCTCGCCACGCCCAAGAGGGCCATGCAGAGCGCCATCAACTACGCGTTGCAGTGCGTCGTTCTCGGCTTTCCGTGGTACAAACATGATGGCTGGGTGAGGGACCCGCGATGCTCCTCCATCTGATTCCCACTGTCCTGCTCATCCTCCTCACCCTCGCACTTCCTGATCCCCCACCTCTCCGGGATTTCAAGTTCTTGCGCAAGGAAGAAGGCTTCGAGGACTCGTTCACGCGCGAGTGGGAGGAGAAGAAGACCCGCTGGAAGGACACGCCCATCGTCCAGGACGGCGGCGGTTCCGCGGCGGACAGCGGCGGCTCCGCGGTGGGCGGCCATCCAGCTGCGCCTGGCGGCGACGCTGGCGCAGATGCCAGTGCCGGTGGAGCACAGGCGGGTCCAAGTGCAGGCGCGGCGGGCAGCAGCGGCTCCGCGGCGGGCGGCCTCGAGGCGATCGGCAAGGGAATCGTGCATACAAAGGCGGGGGTAGCTCTCGCCGCTGCAGAAGTTCCTGCGGATGACGAGCTGCATCCAGCTGACGGGCCAGGTGTGAAGCGCGGTGGTGAAGACCTCGAACCGCTTGTAGTGGACAAGAAGGAGAAGAAGGTGAAGCTGATGCCACCCGAGTCGCTCTGGAAGATTACCAAGGGGTCCTACGGCTTGGCCTTAGCGACGTCGACCATGCTGAGGCAGGACATCGAGCGCGACATGGTGAGTGGTGGGAGGTGCAGCGGCGACGAAATCGGGGGTCCATCCATGCGCGACGGCGTGAGAATGCATTCAGAAAGCCACTCGCTCCTTACGAGCTCGTGGCTTGCTGAGCGGATTCTCTCCGCCGTCCGCGGGATGCGCCTCCGACTTCGCTGACTAGGTTGGGTTGGGCTGGCCAGCCAGTGCACTTCAAGTCGTTCACTACGGCCATCGACAACCTGGAGCGGAAGATCCGCGAGAAGACCGATTACCAGAACCTCTTGCACTGCGACTTGGACGACCTGATCGCCGAGGCGAGGAAGTCCAAGACGCTGGGCACCTTGCTCGAGATGATGACCACGATGACCACGGAGATTACGCCCCTGATCGACGCCGTGAACAAGGATCGATGGGCACTCGACGCCCTCCTCCTCGATCCTCCTCCACCTCCTCATGATGCTGCTCCTGCTCCTGCTCCTCCTCCTCCACCACCTCATCCTCTCCCTCATCCTCATCCTCATGCGCATCATCCCCTCCTCCCCCTCCTCCTTCTCCTTCTCCTCCTCTCCTCCTCCTCCTCCTCCTCCTCCTCCCCCTCCTCCCCCTCCTCCTCCTCCTCCTCCTCCTCCTCGTCCTCGTCGTCGTCGTCCTCCTCCTCCTCCTCCTCCTCCTCCCTCCCCCTCCTCCTCCTCCCCTCCTCCTCCTCCTCCTCCTCCTCCTCCTCCTCCTCTAAGGTGGAACGGATGCTGCAGCATGGTGACCAAATCCGTTCCTCCTCCCCTCCTCCTCCTCATCGCTCCTCCTCCTCCTCCTCCTCCTCCTCCTCCTCCTCCTTCTCCTCCTCCTCGTCCTCATCATCATCACCATCAGCGCAGGAGACCCGCATGATTTCGGGCCAGCAGCTGAGCCGCGACAAGCAGATGGCCTCCCCCCTGAAGGTCGAGCAGCGCTAGGTACGGTACCTACGAGTAGGTGACGGGCCAGGCTCACCTTCTGCCAAATGAGTCCAAGCCGTGGGAGGCGAATGAGGAGGGGGAGGGGGCGGAGGAATGGGATGGGGGGTGGATGGATCGGGGGGGGCGAAGGGAAGGATGGATGAGGGGGAGGGAGGTGGGGGGGGGGGGGGGGGGGGGGCGGAGGAGGGGCGGAGGGACGGGCAGGAGGGCAAACTCAGAAAACTCAGCTATGAGTTTATCTGAGTTTGCGCGGAACTGAAAAAAAGTAGGAAAAACGCACTCGGGGCCGCTGATTTGCGAATGAGTTTCTATGAGTTTCGGGACTTATGAGTTTCATCAGGATCTATTATTGTTCGAGCCCGCTCAGGGATGAGCGCATTTATGAGTTTCGTAAGACGTATGAGTTTCGCTATGAGTTTCTATGCGTTTCTATGAGTTTCGCCACTGAGTTTCGGCGGCCTGGAATTCGTCAGAATTCTCTCCTGGGCTCAGATTTCTGAGATTTCTGGTGTTCTGGAGGCGTTTGCCTTTTGATTCTTATGAGTTTCTCTGATTCTGTCTGATTCTTATGAGTTTCTATGAGTTTCGGTTTCCCACAACTCAGCTTGTCGGCAGCGGGGGTTGAGGGTGGAGCGGGTCGCAGGATTCAGGCTTCCCAGCTCCCCAGGCTCACGTACACGTGACGGCCTGCATGAGTGGCATGGGGTGCCTCTCATGCGTTGAGACTGCCGCGGCTGCGGCGTTAACCTCGTGCAGTGGCCATAGCCAACCCTCTTCCCCGCCTCGCTCCGCTCTTTTATCAATTCCCATATCGCCCCCCCCCCCGCCCTCCCATCCCCGTCTCGCCTCTACCGGGAGGCGCACCTCGGCATTCCTACTGCGTTGGCTGCCCTCGGGGGATGGGACGGCCATAACCTAGGCCACGCCCAGGGGCGCGAAGATATAACCGCGCTTCGCGCCTCGCGGTCTGGGCTGGAGAGCTGCCCTTCTCCGAGGCGGCATCGCGATGGCGCGAAGATTACGGCGCTTCGCGCATCGCGGGGCGCGATGCGCGAGGTTATGCGGCATAGACAACCAGCAACACATCGTGGATGCAACGCGCTGCAGACGCGTAAAACACGTGCAATAAGATGCAAATGCAATCGAATGATGGCGATCGTCGTGCACTCAGCCGCTTCCAGTCTCGAGTGTCGCAGCGTTGTTGCGGCCAATCGATGGCCGACGCCAGAGCTCCCAAGCGGCCGCGCTTGCGGCTGGATGATTTTGTCCCGCCGTACCTGAAAGCAGAACATCACGCCCAGGAGCAGACTTTTCGTGAAGGTGGGCACCTCCTGTTTCAGCACTTGAAAAAGCTGCATGCTGTGTGCAAGTTGACGGCCCAGGACTTTTCGGTTGCGCGATGGCACGCTAGCATGGCAGGTTGCATCGGGGCTGATTTCGAGGCATTCGGAAAACCACCAAACTTACAGACTGGACGATACAAGACCCATCTGGGCAAAAAGTTCCGAGTTCATGACATGTTCGAACTGATCGACATCCCTGGATTTCAGAAGAAGCTATCTGATGACGACGATATCGGCGAGATCAGCTACACGAAAATGAAAATGAGCCTGGCCTACGAATCGGTGTGCTCAGAAGAAGCAGACGACCCCTCGATCTTAACTAAAAGCACAGACATGCATTGGCCACGTGCGTTTACGGGTCACCCTGAGTACATCAGAATTACCAGTGGCGGCCACCCGCCACCTGTTCCTCTTGCGTTGTTCTCCGATGGGGTCAGGTACACCGGCGCGACATCTAGCGCGCCCGACAGTGCCACTGGGTTTTGGTTGATCAACTCGGCTTGGCCACCACTCCGCCAAACCACCCCCGTAGACTATTGCAGCTTGGGTGCTCTAGCCATTGCCTCTCGGGGGCACGACGGAGTCTGGGCCTAGATGAAAGCACGCTGGGTTGGTATCACTGACGCCGTCGGTTTAATATGGTGACGGGTAAACGTCATCTCATATGCTCTGTTCGGGGCCGCATGCTGTGCAAGTGCGGCTGCAGGTGGCTCCCATAAACCAGCCAGAACGTTGAATCTGCCCCCTTCATCGTGGGTTCAGCCTGGTCCCTCGTGCTTTCAGTGCATGAGACGGCTGAATCCATGGGTTGGGGCAGGGTCAACGATCGGTGGTGTCTGGGAACCGTTGGCAAGGGGCTGGGATTCGATGTACACAATTCTCAAGTACGTGCGGTGGTTAATGGACGTCCTGAAGTCAGGGGACAGGCCGGCACTCCGTTTCGATGGTTCTCCTGTTCCTGCGGGGCACATACTTGACAAGCTTTCTGCCAGGCGGGGGGCTTCTCTTGGCTTCAGGGGTTTGGTGTGCTGGCTCAAAGGGGACTTGGCTGACATCAACCACGCGCACGGACTGCCGAGTGTAAGTTCAACGAATACCCCTTGCATGTATTGCAAGTGCACCAAGCAGACCATGCACGCTTTCTATGATGAGATGAGCCTCGTAGATGGCATGGTGCATCAGCCGGTGCTTCGAGGCGATTACGACCGATACTGCGAGTCATTCGGGGTGTAGAATAAACGATCCGAGGTGGGTGAGGGACGGGGTGGATGGTTGAGTGTGGACGGGAGGGCGGACGAAGGCAGACGAGCGGTGGTGCGAAGGCCGACGAGCGGGGGGGGGTACATGATTTTAATTATTTCTGGATTCCAATTAGGTCGCGCCAGATAGAGGTCGATATCCTAAATGACGGAGACCGAAACGAGCTTATCGGTAATCTCTCCTACGCTAAGGGCAAGACTGGATGGGGTTTCACCGTGGCTGTCGACATGCCGAAGCACCGACTCTTGGCAGGCGACGTGGCTGTTCCCAGTGCTGCCATGCTGAACACGAGTAAGATATCATCTTGCGCTGTGCCACGTAGGATAATGTTCTGGAGGTTTCAGAGGGATGTATCGGGGTTCAAATGCGGGATGGTTATACGAAGGAATCCCATTTTCGGCGCAGGTGGATTAGAGCCAACGGATCACGCTGCTTCAGACGTCCTCCACACAATCGCGCATGGGCCTGCTCAGAGGTGGGCATCCGCGGCGGTCTGGAGAATTATCATAGCGAATCCTTGGGGCTTCGGGGGATCGAAGAGTGCGAAGATGGAGGCATGCATTCGCAGGGTTGATCGGGACATGAGGGTGTGGGGTCAATGCTTGACGGGCGGGCTCTGTCTGGGGGACCTGTCCGCCAATCTCCTGGGCGGGGATCCACCTGCAGATGTATGGAGATCTGGCCTGCATGCAGGCTGCCCGATGCGATTCAAAGCAGCAGAAACTTTGGTGTTCATGAGATTCGTAGTGACCTTGCTCGAACAACATGAGGACCAAGTTCCTTCGGGTAGATCCCTGCTTGTGGCTGGCGAAGCTCTCTGTGCTTTTTTAGACATGTTGAAGCCGTTGCCCTTCAAGGTACCGGAGAATAAGCTTCAGGAGTTGTTCGACGCAGTGCAATTGCATCTAGTTCGGTCGCAAGCAGCTGGCATTGCCGACGTACCCAAACACCACTTTGCCGCGCATCTCGCAGAAAGGATGTGCCTCGTTTCGGCGTTTTCTTTCGCCTCGAATTCTCGTGCGCGGGGTCGGGCTCGTCGCTCCGAGCTGGATTCGCCTCGGAATTCACTTCAATGGATGTTCGGATTGTCTTTGGGCGTGTTCTTAATGCATAATGCATATGAATATGGCCAGGATTGGTTTTCACGGCAACCCCATGGTGTACGCCACTTGGACCGACGAGTCCCTGAACTCCATTTTGAAAACTACTGCCGAGCATAGTCACCAACTCACCTTCGAGGCCAGAATATTTTACACTTTCTCGCTCGTATCAGAACTGGGGCTCAATAAGTGGATATGTCCCTAAAGCATGACGACCAGTGGGCAATCTCAAGAGTTCCTGCCTACCGACATTTTAGAGCATGCTTTCGCCTTGGCGGAAGAGGCAGGCCGCCCCCGTGGGGATGCACTGCTCAGCAAGGCACTCTGGGGCATTGTGCAAATGTTAACGAGTTAATGTTGTT